GGCCTCCTCATGGCTATAGGGACAGATTACCTCCTCATGGCTATAGGGACAGATGGCCTCCTCATGGCTCTAGAGACAGATGACCTCCTCATGGCTCTAGAGACAGATGACCTCCTCATGTCTCTAGGGACAGATGACCTCCTCGTCTCTAGAGACAGATGACCTCCTAATGTCTCTAGGGACAGATGGCCTCCTCATGGCTCTAGAGACAGATGACCTCCTCATGGCTCTAGGGACAGATTGCCTCCTCATGGCTCTAGAGACAGATGACCTCCTCATGGCTATAGGGACAGATGGCCTCCTCATGGCTCTAGAGACAGATGGCCTCCTCATGGCTCTAGAGACAGATGGCCTCCTCATGGCTCTAGAGACAGATGGCCTCCTCGTGGCTCTAGGGACAGATGACCTCCTCATGGCTCTAGAGACAGATGGCCTCCTCATGGCTATAGGGACAGATGGCCTCCTCATGGCTCTAGGGACAGATGACCTCCTCATGGCTCTAGAGACATATGGCCTCCTCATGGCTATAGGGACAGATTACCTCCTCATGGCTATAGGGACAGATGGCCTCCTCATGGCTCTAGAGACAGATGACCTCCTCATGGCTCTAGAGACAGATGACCTCCTCATGTCTCTAGGGACAGATGACCTCCTCGTCTCTAGAGACAGATGACCTCCTAATGTCTCTAGGGACAGATGGCCTCCTCATGGCTCTAGAGACAGATGACCTCCTCATGGCTATAGGGACAGATTGCCTCCTCATGGCTCTAGAGACAGATTACCTCCTCATGGCTATAGGGACAGATTGCCTCCTCATAGCTCTAGAGACAGATGACCTCCTCATGGCTATAGGGACAGATGACCTCCTCATGTCTCTAGAGACAGATGACCTCCTCATGGCTATAGGGACAGATGACCTCCTCATGTCTCTAGAGACAGATGACCTCCTCATGTCTCTAGGGACAGATGGCCTCCTCATGGCTCTAGAGACAGATTACCTCCTCATGGCTATAGGGACAGATTGCCTCCTCATGGCTCTAGAGACAGATGACCTCCTCATGACTATAGGGACAGATGACCTCCTCATGTCTCTAGAGACAGATGACCTCCTCATGGCTATAGGGACAGATTGCATCCTCATGGCTCTAGAGACAGATGACCTCCTCATGTCTCTAGAGACAGATGACCTCCTTATGGCTATAGGGACAGATGGCCTCCTCATGGCTCTAGAGACAGATGACCTCCTCATGTCTCTAGGGACAGATGACCTCCTCATGGCTATAGAGACAGATGACCTCCTCATGGCTATAGGGACAGATGACCTCCTCATGTCTCTAGAGACAGATTACCTCCTCATGGCTATAGGGACAGATTGCCTCCTCATGGCTCTAGAGACAGATGACCTCCTCATGTCTCTAGAGACAGATGACCTCCTTATGGCTATAGGGACAGATGGCCTCCTCATGGCTCTAGAGACAGATGACCTCCTCATGTCTCTAGGGACAGATGGCCTCCTCATGGCTCTAGAGACAGATGACCTCCTCATGGCTATAGGGACAGATTGCCTCCTCATGGCTCTAGAGACAGATGACCTCCTCATGGCTATAGGGACAGATGACCTCCTCATGTCTCTAGAGACAGATGACCTCCTCATGGCTATAGGGACAGATTGCCTCCTCATGGCTCTAGAGACAGATGACCTCCTCATGTCTCTAGAGACAGATGACCTCCTTATGGCTATAGGGACAGATGGCCTCCTCATGGCTCTAGAGACAGATTACCTCCTCATGGCTCTAGAGACAGATGACCTCCTCATGGCTCTAGAGACAGATGACCTCCTCATGTCTCTAGAGACAGATGATCTCCTTATGGCTATAGGGACAGATGGCCTCCTCATGGCTCTAGAGACAGATGACCTCCTCATGTCTCTAGAGACAGATGACCTCCTCATGTCTCTAGAGACAGATGATCTCCTCATGGCTATAGGGACAGATGGCCTCCTCATGGCTCTAGAGACAGATGACCTCCTCATGTCTCTAGAGACAGATGACCTCCTCATGTCTCTAGAGACAGATGACCTCCTCATGGCTATAGGGACAGATGGCCTCCTCATGTCTCTAGAGACAGATGACCTCCTCATGTCTCTAGGGACAGATGACCTCCTCATGGCTATAGAGACAGATGGCCTCCTCAAGTCTCTAGGGACAGATGGCCTCCTCATGGCTATAGAGACAGATGGCCTCCTCATGTCTCTAGGGACAGATGACCTCCTCATGGCTATAGAGACAGATGACCTCCTCATGTCTCTAGGAACCAGACGAGTCCGACTACTCTGTGACCATGATGCGTTATCTGGGCTGGACGTTTGAGAGTGAGCCCCCTCATCCAGACAGTAATTACCCACGTCAATGACAAACATGAGATTTAATTGCACGCCATTTAACATACGAGCTGTTCAATACCTAAATATCTGCTTTGAGTTGATGAAAACAATCATTAACATTATCCCAAAAAACATGCAGTTTGTTGCTTGACATACTTCAGCAGCAAAAACAGGACAGCGGAATGTTTACAAACTCTGTTATGAGAACAATATGTTCTGGTACAAGGATCAGTTTTCAAGAACAGCATGTATCGTTAGCCTGCTTACTAACCAGCTACAAGGTATTTAACGCCACAATCTTAAATGTCTTCTAAGGTCAGTGAAATACAAACCCAATGTGTCTTCTCTTATTAAATTGAAGCTGAAGACAAGACCACTATAACTGAACCACTATTATCAGTTGTATTCCTCATATTCCTCATATTCCTAAAAATCAGGAAAGCATTCTAACCTCCAGAGCTCAATAATTGTAGCGGGACTGGGGTACGATTCATATGTAACTAAAGCCATTGGGTTGGATGAAGTTTCTCTTTAACGAAAGCCGGTGCAGCAAAGATAATTATATTGAAGAAGAGGTTAGAGGAACAGCCAGACAGATCAAACAAGACACACTAATTAATGCGATGCATCGACTAGAACCTCATCCAGCAGAATATATTGACAACAATCAAGAAAAACACATTAAACATGGGGCTGAGGGGTATTGTTGTAATGAGGTGTGTTTGAGTGGTGTTAGTTACATGTATATATACTGTATATATATATATATAGAGTGTATATGTATGCATGGGTGTATAAGGAAACGGGTGTAGGGGATGTGTGATGCTAATGAGGTGTGTGCATGTGAGTGTGTGCATGTGAGTGTGTGCATGTATACTGTATGTCTGTGTGAATCATGCACTAAAGAAAAAGAGTGATACCCTGTACATAGACAATATACAATTTTGCACATCGTATGTAGGGAACTGTATGTGAAGAGTGAGATACTTACTTGGCTTTGGCCCCTGCATCCTCATAGCCTTTGTTTGAGACATCATCCAGGCCCCCGATCAAGTGCTTAAATGAACTGAAAGAGAACACAGAGTAACATTAATCAATGACTACCTAAAACACCTAGGTTAAATAAATGTATGGTTGCTACCCAATGATCTCTCCTAAAACACCTGGTTACATGAACTTATGGTTGCTGCCCAATGATCTTTCCTAAAACAGCTAGGTTACATGAATTTATGGTTGTATCCCAATGATCTCTCCTAAAACACCTAGGTTACAATAACTTATGGTTGTATCCCAATGATCTCTCCTAAAACACAAATTACGGTTAAATGAAAACAGCCCATGCATACGCCAATCCAATGCTTTTACATTTGTGGGGAGTAGTGAACGAGTGCACACTTCAGGAGGAAGGAGAGATTATTGGGACGTAGCCATGCTGTTATTGTTACAAATGTTCACTGAGTTCAGCATTATTAATGCATGAGACACAGGAGGGTATCAAATCACCACTAGCATCTGTCACAAAAATCTATCTACGAAAACAGCCTTGAACAGAGTGAGACAATTTGATGAATTTGAGACAATGTTTAAATAACAGCAAACATCATTCCCTGTTAGCTTTGTGCTGGTTGAGCCACAGCACTGTAATTCAGCCAACCAAAAGTGTGGTATCTCCCATTTTGGTTCCAAATGAATCACACTAAGTAGGTTTGCTGTAACATGTTAAAAACGGGTTAAAAGATGGCTACTGTAACTGAGACAATACTGTCTTTGAATAGTACTTTCCCTCCCAATCAACTTAAGTGTTAATGTAATATCCATCTCAGAGTACTCACTCTATAGAATAGATTGTTATTATTATGAAACTATACATAGTCTATTTATGCTATAGAGGATTAATGTTGATGAAATCATTTTGATTAACCCTCTCATAATAATGAGATGCGTGGGAGGAGAGCAGTCATGATTGTCTTAGTTTGACGGAGTAAATGCTTTAGAACAATCAAAAGATCGGACTGTCCAAAAGCAATATAGTAGATTGAATTGAAATTTTATATCTGGTCTTTTGGAAGTCAACAATATAATGTCTGCTGGCCCACACTTTGAAAATTCAAAAGGCAATCCTAAGTTTTCTGTCACACACAAAATATGATGGACGTTAGCTGTTCTGAAGAGTAAATATAGTTATCAATGATACTGTCAAGGTAAACAAGGATGACTGGTTGTCTGCAATCTAATTTATTTACCTGACAAGGTATGCTCAATCTTTTTGTTATCTTTTTTTATGCAATCTTTTTGTTTCTTTGAGTTAGTATATAAACCCTACACTCTGATAACACTGTTATCGCTTACTTACACTTTATCATGGAGTTGGCAACTATCAAAATATCATAATATAATACATTTAAAGAAGATAACTAAATACATGACTGACAGCTAAACCCTGAAATCCTAGCCGAGGCCTTCTCTTATCTCAGAGTAGTAGACAAATATCTGGATATTTAAAAAAAATCTATTTATGATTAATCGTTATCAAAATGCTTCATCTTTCCCTTTTAGCTTGAGCAGGTTCTTATCATTAAGGGTCCTTCTGTGCTGTTTTTAGCCATCTGTTTCAGAAGTGCCTGAAACCATCCGAGGGGTGAAGAGGGGTCTGATTACCACACAGAATTTCAGTGAGAGGGGGCAGGTTGGAGGAGCGGACATTTTAATGTGACACATCTGAGCTCTGTCTGTGGAGTAATGCGTCTGGGGCTTTTTCTCCCAGCAGGCAACAGTGCTGAAAAGCATCTGTCTGGGCCATCGGGTGCTGAGAAGCGGTGAGGCAGCCTCGTGTTCCAAAACAGAATACTCACTCTCCCATGGGCCCCCCATTTCCCCTCCACTGCCCTCCCTTTCTGCCATCCAACCCATTACCCTCCCTTCCAGCTCTTACCAGTAATTCAACATTATATTGATGGTGAAATATCGACTCAGTGCTGGTAAATGTTTCACCAGAGCATGACTTGGCATCCTTTGACTCTCCTCCTGCGTGAGCAGCATGACTAATAGTAATTCATGTGAACCCATGGTTCTGAGGCCATGGCTATAATCACCACAGATATAGATAGATATAGACTGTTATTTCTAAGGTTTATGAGTCAAGATTCAAGTGTCAGACCGGTAAAACTTTTGACAAGGATCTTTTAATAAATCGTTTTGAGAAATAGTAATCACACAATCAACATTACTTAATGTAAGTGTGAGAGAATAACTGATCTCAGATGAGGTTAGGCTAGAACTGGTACAACTCCCTGACAGTTATGAACTCATTATTTGAAATGTATGTCTAGACTGTAGGAGTTTATTATCATTTCATGACTTGGCCGCTGCAAAAAGATTCCGATATCATCCAGGAATAATGACCCATGATAGGCAATAAAAGGGTATTTGAAGTGTGAACTGCTTTGCACTAAATATAGACCTACAAGTTGACCCATTTAAAGTTTTATTCTTAGTGTGCCTCTCCTATAAAAGCCCATATAAGCTGTCCACTCCCACTCGATAAGGCTGACTTGCCATATAAATGTGATTGATATTAGTGATGCACAAGATTTAAGAAGTTTATAGCCTAGAGCAGAGTTGCCCAAACTCGGCTCAACTCAGCTTCTCATTACTATATCTTCCTGACCACACTGTTCGTCTCCCTGTCCGAGCGTATGTTTGGTACCAAGTCTGCACCAAAATGGCACCCTATTCCCTATATAGTGCACTATCCTATGGACCCTAGTCAAAAGTAGTGCACTATATAGGGATTTGTTTTGGGGGGGATTAGGATCCCCATTAGCCGACGCCAATGGCGATAGCAAGTCTTACTGGGGTCCGACACATAACGAAGAAGACTTTACAGACAAAATACTTTACAATTGACATACATTTAAAAACATTAACATGTAGTGTGTGTGTGTGTGTGGGCATCTATCAGTTACACATACTGTACATGTTAGAACACACACACTACAAGTTGGTCACATAGGGGAGAGGCGTTGTGCTGTGAGGTGTTGCTTTATTTCAGGTTTTATTTCAGGTTTGCTGTTCACTTCCGCTATATAAGATGGAAGGGAGTTCCATGCACTCATGGCTCTGTATAATACTGTACGTTTCCTTGAATTTGTTCTGGACTTGGGGACAGTGAAAAGACCCCTGGTGGCATGTCTGGTGGGGTAAGTGTGTGTGTCAACGCTGTGTTTAAGTTGACTATGCAAACAATTAGGAATTTCCAACACATGAATGTTTCTTATAAAAACAAGAAGCGATGCGGTCAGTCTTTCCTCAACTCTTAGCCAAGAGAGACTGGCATGCATAGTATTAATATTAGCCCTCTGATTACAATGAAGGGCAAGACGTGCAGCTCTGTTCTGGGCCAGCTGCAGCTTAACTAGGTATTTCCTTGCAGCACTCGACCACACGACTGGACAATAATCAAGATAAGATCAAACTAGAGCCTGCAGGACTTGCTTTGTGGAGTGTGTTGTCAAAAAAGCAGCACATCTCTTTATCATGGACAGACCTCTCCCCATCTTTACAACCATTGAATCAATATGTTTTGACCATGACAGTTTACAATCTAAGGTAACACCAAGTAATTTAGTCTCCTCAACTTGCTCAACAGCTACACCATTCATTACCAGATTCAGCTGAGGTCTGGAACTTAGGGAATGAGTTTTAGAGATGTTCAGGTTGAAAAGCCATAACACATGTTTTTTCAACAACAGGTTATGGTCAATAATATCAAAGGCAGCACTGAAATCTAACAGTATAGCTCCCACAATCTTCTTACTATACATTTCTTTCAACCAATCATCAGTCATTTGTTTCAGTGCAGTACATGTTGAGTGCCCTTCTCTATAAGCATGCTGAAAGTCTGTTGTTAATTTGTTTACAGAAAAATATATATTTGGTCAAACACAATTTATTCCATCACTTTGCTAAGAGCTGGCAGCATAGGCTGATAGGTCGGCTGTTAGAACCAGTAAAGGCAGCTTTACCATTCTTGGGTAGTGGAATGACTTTGGCTTCCATCCAGGCCTTAGGACAAACACTTTCCTCTAGGCCAGGGGTGTCAAACTCATTTTAGCTCAGGGGCCACATGGAGGAAAATCTATTCCCAAGTGGGCCGGACCGGAAAAATCATGGTATATATAACTTAAAAACAACAACTTCAGATTGTTTTCTTTGTTTTAATACGATCAACATACAACATAAAGCTGGAGCCTGAGGACAGTGTGTCCAAAATAGTACAAGCACAACATCACTATTAATCATAAAACACGTCAAGTTTATTTGAAAATTCTAAAGAAAAAGAACACACAAACACACAATGCCTCAGTGATTAACAGAACTGTTTCACAGATCACATAACTATATCAGGGTGTCATTTCTCAGGCAGAAATGTAGATAAAAATAATGAAATCCTGTTCCCCAAACAAGTGCAAGAACCACAGAGTCAAGAATAGGTTAAATATACAAATAAAATAAAATCAATTAAAAACAATAGCACATCAACATAAAAACATATAAACATAAATCTGAAAGCGTTGCTCAAACTCCCGTAACAGTCCCGTTATTTTATCTTTGAACCGCTTCATGTCTGCCACATGTTGGGTCGCGCACATATTTTTCAGACAGGGGAAGTGAGCTGCATCACCACCGGCAAGTTGCGTCTCCCACAATGACAGCTTCAACTTGAAAGAACGTATGCTGTCATAATACTGCGTGACAACTTTGTTGCGCCCTTGCAGCTGTTTGTTCAAGTTATTCAGGTGCTCTGTAACATCCACCATAAATGCAAGGTCCTGCATCCATTCTGCGGAATGAAATTCTAACACTGGGTTGCCCTTTTCTTCCATGAACTGTTCAATTTCTTCTCGTAAATCAAAGAAACGCCTCAGCACAGCACCTCGGCTTAACCATCTTACCTCAGTGTGGTATGGCAGGCCATAGATGTGGTCTTTCTCTCTGAGAAGGCTGTCAAACTGACGGTGATTCAGGCTTCTGGATCGGATGAAATTAACAGTTTGGATGACCACCTTCATGACGTTTTCCATCTTTAATGACTTGCAACACAAAGCCTCCTGGTGCAAAATACAGTGAAAAGTCAAAAAATCACGTCCTCCATTTGCAGATTGCACTTTCTCTCTGAACTTTGTCACAACGCCTGCTTTTTTCCCGATCATTGAGGGCGCATCATCTGTAGCCAGGCTGACAGCGCGGGACCAGTCCACTCCGACCCTGTCCAGCGCGCCGACGAGTGCGGTAAAAATATCAGCTGCTGTCGTTGTATCTGTCATCGGCACCAACTCCACGAACTCCTCGGTGACGGTCAATGTGTCATCAACTCCGCGGATGAAAATGGCCAGTTGTGCAACATCTGTAATGTCCGTGCTTTCATCAATTGCAACCGAAAACGCAATAAATGACTTTACTTTTTGCTTCAACTGGCTGTCCAAATCCACTGAAAGATCGGAAATCCTGTCTGCAACTGTGTTTCTTGTCAGGTTGATATTTTCAAAAGCCTGCCGCTTTTCAGGGCACACAATCTCCGCTGCCTTCATCATGCATGTTTTTACAAATTCACCCTCACTAAATGGTTTTGAAGCCACTGCGATTTCATTAGCAATGAGGTAGCTAGCTTTCACTGCAGCGTCACTGATGTCTCGGCTGTGAGTAAACACAGACTGCTGTTTCTTCAGACCCGCCAACAGTTCATTCACCTTCTCTCATCTCCGCTGTCCTTGAAAGTTGTCATATTTGTCGGCATGAAGACTCACATAGTGGCGACGAAGGTTATATTCTTTCAGCACTGCAACATGCTCTGAACACACCAAACATACAGCTTTCCCATTCAATTCAGTGAATAAATAGGATGACCATTTTTCTTGGAACACTTTGCACTCTGCGTCCACTTTTCTCTTTTTTGACAGAGACATATTGGGGCAATGAGGGTGCCAAAGCACATAATGTTAAAAGTAGAAGCCGTAATAAATATCGCGGGCAAAACAAAGTAGCTCATTGGCTGCACGTGCTTGACCTACTTGCTCTGCCCCGGTATAAACAGTTTGCTTGTTTAACACAATAGCTATTGCGCCATCCAGTGGACGCAATTGGAACAGCAGTTTATTTTATTGAAAAATTGCAGCGCATTTTTATACTTTACAAAATTATTATTATTAAATGGGTTTTTTTTTTATCATCTCGCGGGCCGGATTAAACCCGTTTGCGGGCCTGATCCGGCCCACGGGCCGGACGTTTGACACCCCTGCTCTAGGCTCAGATTAAATATATGACATATAGGAGTGGCTATAGAGTCAGCTACCATCCTCAGTAGCTTTCCATCTAAGTTGTCAATGCCAGGATATTTGTCATTATTGATCGATAACAATACCTTTCCACCTCTCCCACACTCATTTTACAAAAATCAAACTTACAATGCTTTCTTTCATTTAAAAACAACATTGTTTTATGCAATACGATGGCTCACTGTTTGTTGTTGGCATTTCCTGCCTAAGTTTGCCCACTTTGCCAATGAAGGAATCATTAAAATAATTGGCAATATCAAAAGGTTTTGTGATGAATAAGCCATCTGATTCGATGAAAGATGGAGTTGAATTTGTCTTTCTACCCATAATTTCATATGAAGTACTCCAAAGTTGATTTTCATAACTCTTTCCATCATTGATCTTGGCTTCATAATACAGTTTCTTCTTCTTTTTGGACTAGGGTGTCATTTCAGACACACTCCAGGAATCCCACCACACCACAGTGATCACATAATTATGTGCACGACAACGGCATGACGACGGAGGGAGCACAGCGTGGCAGACAAAATAAGCCCTCTCCAATGGCCTTGGCCATAAAGCTTTCAGCCAGCCAACGTGATAAAATTTATGGTGGATTTCCTGCAGAGCAAAAGGTGAATGTTCCGCTCTTTTCTCCAGTGTTTGTCTGCTGTGCTAGGATTGCCTTTTTTAGCCCTGCCTCTGGCTCTGAGCTACACAGACCCAGACAGAGACACACAGAGACCCAGACCACACACAGCGAGGGCTGCTGGGTCTGTGAGGAGGAACAGGCTCAGTCTACCATGCTGTGCACAGCACTCCATCCTCAGTCCCACTGTTTTACAAAGCTGGGTGTCATTCAAAACAGGAACCTTTTGTAGCCACCTTTTCAATGTAGTGAAGGTATTTGTTCTGATTACGAATAAATGGCATAGTAATGATCAGTGATTAATTATCTGTAATCAATGATATGGATCAATAACAATCTTGCTAAAAGATACTGATACTATAGTCACGTTACTGTTCACTGTTAATCATTATGATGGGGTAATGCTCTGCAGTACATTGTTTTTTCATGGCAGTAAAGGGTTAATCAACAAACCGCACATATTTAAAAGTAAACCTTCAGGCGACACAGGCTACTACTCTACAGGCTACTACCCTACAGGCTACTACTCTACAGGCTACTACTCTACAGGCTACTACCCTACAGGCTACTACTCTGCAGGCTACTACCCTACAGGCTACTACTCTACAGGCTACTACTCTACAGGCTACTACTCTGCAGGCTACTACTCTACAGGCTACTACTCTACAGGCTACTACCCTACAGGCTACTACTTTACAGGCTACTACTCTACAGGCTACTACTCTACAGGCTACTACCCTACAGGCTACTACTCTACAGGCTACTACCCTACAGGCTACTACTCCACAGGCTACTACTTTACAGGCTACTACTCTACAGGCTACTACCCTACAGGCTACTACTCTACAGGCTACTACTCTGCAGGCTACTACCCTACAGGCTACTACTCTACAGGCTACTACTCTACAGGCTACTACCCTACAGGCTACTACTCTACAGGCTACTACTCTACAGGCTACTACTCTGCAGGCTACTACCCTACAGGCTACTACTCTACAGGCTACTACTCTACATGCTACTACTCTGCAGGCTACTACCCTACAGGCTACTACTCTGCAGGCTACTATTCTACAGGCTACTACCCTACAGGCTACTATTCTACAGGCTACTACCCTACAGGCTACTACTCTACAGGCTACTACTCTACAGGCTACTACTCTGCAGGCTACTACTCTACAGACTACTACTCTACAGGCTACTACTCTGCAGGCTACTACTCTACAGGCTACTACTCTACAGGCTAATACCCTACAGGTTACTACTCTACAGGCTACTACTCTGCAGGCTACTACTCAACAGGCTACTACTCTACAGGTTACTACTCTGCAGGCTACTACCCTACAGGCTACTATTCTACAGGCTACTACCCTACAGGCTACTACTCTGCAGGCTACTACTTTGCAGGCTACTACCCTACAGGCTACTACTCTACAGGCTACTACTCTATTTAGATATTGAATACTGCATTGTTGGGAAGGGATGCAAAGCTATCGATAATTTACCAAAGTTACCAGAATCTTCAGTAATTAACAGAAAATCTATGCCAATCTATCATAACTTTAGTAATTTATACTTTAATAACTTTTTTTTAAAATATATTCATATTGTCCATGAGTTTCTAGAGAAAATAGCCTAATTAATGAAAAAAGCATCTAATCAACAATTGCATTATCTTCAATTAACTCTGCAAGTATTCCAACTATTGACTTTTCTTCACAACTGCCACCAGTTTGATGCCAAAACATTGACAACAAATACATATTGACATAGTAAAATAAATCAAAGTGTGTAAAAAAATGTATTAAGGATATTTCATACTGAAACCCTCATATTAAACACCAATGGTATTCAGTAAGTTGATGGTTTATATTTAGGATAATGTTTTACCGCTTTGATTTTGATTTTGATTTTATTTAATAATCTTATTTAATTATTTAAAATATTTGACATGTGATAAGGCCACACAAATGGCCAGAGATAATTACAGACACCTGTGATAGTCTGAAGTGCCCAAAAGGGTGATAGATTACATAAAATCCTTGAAAGATACCAAAAATTCTGGTAGTTTACTGGTAAACTTAGAAAGTTTCCAGTAACAAACCTCCCTTTGCAACCCTACTGTTGGGAAGGGCATGCAAGTTAAGCATTTCACTGTACTTGTGTGTGTAACAAATACAACTTGAAACTACTTACTCTCTGTCAATGACCAGGCAGGTGACAGCTTCAGCAGCGATCACATTAGCCGTCCTGATGTCCTCTCTGTGGGGACACAAAGTGTCAACACATCAGTCAAACGTATCCCCACATTCCTCACTCTTGGACGTAAGTCACTGTCCATTCAAAAAGTAATACCTCATGTTAAATTCTAATTAGATTTAGCCTCAAGTGAATACAATTTTTAAAAAATGTGAATACAGAATTGCAAACATACCATTCAAAACATCCAATAAATTGTATATAGTCATGATCGTCCTCTCTACAGTTATCTATGCCATCATCAGAATCCCCTTCACTGTAACCTGAATAAGTCTATAATTACCTGCGATCCACCTGTGAACCCCCCCCCCCCCCCCCCCACACACACACACACACACACACACACACACTCCAATCTGGCACCAGCTCAACTGATGTCTGTCTATTAGTCTGAGGGAGTGTCTTTTCCAAACTGATGCGTGTGAAAGGTCACATCCAGCAGCTGTGCAGCATGATAATTACAGTGAGGTGAAAGAGTTAATAACACACTGTCCATCAACACAGAGGGGATGGTCCTATAGAGCTATAGCACATTGCTGGAAGAGGCTATCTACTGTTGGTTTTCCTGAGCCTAGAGTACCAGTAAATGGCTATCCCTAATGAGCATCAACTGACAGTAAATGGCTATCCTTAATAAGCATCAACTGCCAGTAAATGGCTATCCCTCATGAGCATCAACTGCCAGTAAATGGCTATCCCTAATGAGCATCAACTGCCAGAGATCAGTAAGAGACAAATATAACCACGAGACCACTTCCCAAGACTATACGCTAAGTTCCTATTGGTGGATGCATGTAACTTATATCACACCAATGAATGGGGGATGTCCAGATGATTTCATAACGAACTAAAAATAGCAGAATGGTGGCCGAACGAACACCTTGCTAGTAATAGCATACAGCATATCTGTACGTGTGACAGGCATCTCTGTAATTGACATTAATTCAATATGGTTACTTATACCAGGGCATTGTTGAATACTTGTTTCTGATTGGTTTGAAGGGCATTCTAGATCGTGCATTATTTCCCTATTACGCACGGTAGAATTCAATGGCTATAGATCATTTTTACATGTTTTGTTTGACAGAACTATCTGGTGACAGAGGGAGAGAGGGAGCCGGAGAGGGGGAAAAATTAGAGGGGAATATCTATCCAGCCCAGTGTAACATATGAGCCCTCTAATAGACAGACCAGGGAGAACAGCTGTGAATTCCCACCCTGCTCATGGACAAGGCAACAATTCTCTGGATTTCACAAGAACATCCTGGGAATCTACAGGCTGAGGTGGCCATTTTACACAGAACACAGCATCCATCACAGTTGTTGCTAGCCGACCACCCACCTAGTCTTACACATTCATTTCAATGCTTCGGTAAACAACTGATATGTGTAAGCAGATACCTCCCAACGAGGGAGCAGGATGCCATTCTTCAAGCCAATTAGCACGTATTATGGCAGGGAGATGGAAACATCTACGGTACACTACAGACTCCAGTAGAGTTGCTATATCACCAGATACCTCCCAGTGAAATGAGAGGAGAGCTTTCTAGAGATAGGATGTCATTCTTCAAACCAATTAGCATGTATTATGGCAGGGGCAAGGAGAGAGAAACACATCACACACCAAACATTATATAACTACTATGAACTTCGAGGGAGGGTACTAGACAGGGAAAGAGGAGAGAGAGAGATACACTACCAGTCAAAAGTTTGGACACACCTACTCATTCAAGGGTTTTTCTTTATTTGTACTATTTTTTACATTGTAGAATAATAGTGAAGACATCAAAACTATGAAATAACACATATGGAATCATGTAGTAACCAAGAAAAGTGTTAAACAAATCAAAATATATTTTATATTTGAGATTCTTCAAATAGCCACACTTTGCCTTGATGACAGCTTTGCACACTCTTGGCATTCTCTCAACCAGCTTCATGAGGTAGTCACCTGGAATGCATTTCAATTAACAGGTGTGCCATCTTAAAAGTTAATTTGTGGAATTTATTTCCTTCTTAATGCGTTTCAGCCAATTAGTTGTGTTGTGACAAGGTGGGGGGGGGGGGGGGGGGGGGGGGGGGGGGGGGGGGGTATACAGGAAGATAGCCCTAATTGTTAAAAGACCAAGTCCATATTATGGCAAAACCAGTCCATATTATGGCAAGAACAGCTCAAATAAGCAAAGAGAAATTACAGTCCATCATTACTTTAAGACATGAAGGTCAGTCAATACGGAACATTTCAAGAACTTTGAACGTTTTTTCAAGTGCAGTCGCAAAAAACATCAAGCGCTATGATGAAACTGGCTCTCATGAGGACCACCACAGGAATGGAAGACCCAGAGTTACCACTGCTGCAGAGGATACGTTCATTAGAGTTACCAGTCTCAGAAATTGCAGCCAAAATAAATGTCACAGACACATCTCAACATCAACTGTTCAGAGGGGACTGTGTGAATCAGGCCTTCATGGTCGAATTGCTGCAAAGAAACCACTACTAAAGGACACCAATAAGAAGAAGGGCCCTGCTTGGGCCAAGAAACACGAGCAATGGACATTAGACCGGTGGAAATGTGTCCTTTGGTCTGGAGTCCAAATTTGAGATTTGTGGTTCCAACCGCCTTGTCTTTGTGAGACATGGTGTGAGTGAACGGATGATCTCCGCATGTGTAGTTCCCACCACAAAGCATGGAGGAGGAGATGTTATGTTGTGGGGGTGCTTTGCTGGTGACACTGTCTGTGATTTATTTAGAATTCAAGGCACACTTAACCAGCATGGCTACCACACATCTATCTGGTTTGGGCTTAGTGGGACTATCATTTGTTTTCAACAGGACAATGACCCAACACACCTCCAGGCTGTGTAAGGGCTATTTAACCAAGAACGAGAGTGATGGAGTGCTGCATCAGATGACCTAGCCTCCACAATCCCCCGACCTCAACCCAATTGAGATGGTTTGGGATGAGCCGGACCGCAGAGTGAAGGAAAAGCAGCCAACAAGTGCTCCGCATATGTGGGAACTCCTTCAAGACTGTTGGAAAAGCATTCCAGGTGAAGCTGGTTGAGAGAATGCCAAGAGTGTGCAAAGCTGTCATCAAGGCAAAGGGTGGCTATTTGAAGAATCTCAAATACAACATATATTTTGATTTGTTTAACACTCTTTTTGTTACTACATGATTCCATATGTGTTATTTCATAGTTTTGATATCTTCACTATTATTCAACAATGTAGAAAATAGTAAAAAATAAAGAAAAACCCTTGAAAGAGTAGGTGTGTCCAAACTTTTGACTGCTACTATATATAGAGATAGAGACAGAGACAGGGAGCGAGAGAGAGAGAGAGAGAGAGAGAGGAGAAGAGAGAGAAGAGAGAGAGAGAGAGAGAGAGAGAGGAGATAAGATAGAGAGAGAGATAGAGCATGAGTAGAGAGATAGAGAGAGAAGCCAAAGAGAAAGAAATCTATAGTAAGCAGATGAGAATCGAGATCCCGCCACATCCTCTCTCCCCCCGTCTCTCTCTCTCCCCTCTCGCTCTCTCTCTCTCTCTCTCTCCTCCGCTCTCTCTCCTCGCTCTCATCTAGAGAGCGAGAGCGATCTCTATGCTCTCGATCAGCCATAGCCTGTCCATGCTCCAGAGATCAATTTTAGTCTTAGTAGACCATGCCTTCACCGACACCAATCAACAACCAGAGAGAGAGCAGCCTGGAGGAAAGGTTATGCTTGTCAATCTCACTGGAAATGTGTGCACATAACAAAGACTAGGGGGAAATATAAATGCCATAGGCATTTAAGGCCTCAGTTTATCACCACCCAGCCAAGAAAGTCCACAGATTAGGCGAGATGCCAGGAAAAACAAAGGCTTTGTAAAGTAGCATAGAGCTGGTCAGGCTGCTCATACCAACTGCCAAACTAACTCCGGCGAAATTAGACATTCACTCATCATCCTGCTCACTTAGGCTCAGCAGCTGGAAGGCTCTGACGATGAATTGAGTACTGATTGGTCCTAAGCATCCTTGGGCAAAGTTCCGGCAGGTACTGTATGTGTACCCATGTGTGGCTGAGAGGGAAAAAGAAAGAAGTCTGTGTGTGTTTCTGTGTGTGTGTTTGTGTGTGTGTGTGTGTGTTTCTGTGTGTGTGTGTGTGTGTTTGTGTGTGTGTGTGCATCCTGTGTGTTTGAGAGAGAGAGAGAGGACTCCTGACACCTCCCTTATAGCCAATAATTAGCCTTAATGTGAGGGACAAGGTGTTTTGTTTAAAACAGATATGAAAGTCCACTTAGCATACAACCTCCTCCACATCAAAGCCAGTAATCCACTCAAAACCCTTTAACCACAAGGATTATTGTGCTGTCCTGTCTGTAGTCAACTCTTCACGACTCACTCACCTCCTCCCCCAAAGCAGCTCTAGCACATATCGCTAAAGATCAATGTCAGCGTCTTGGGTAAACAGCACGGCCCCTTTTTTTAAGCACTGATTGATTTGCTAAACACAGTATTAATGGAGAAGACTGTGTGCTAATTAAGGCAAAGGAGAGGAGGAGAGATCAAAGGGAGAGCGGCAGATTTGGAGATGTAGCGCCTTTCAAAGTTTAACTAATACACCACCATAGCTCGTTATGTCCTAGCTGTTCAGGGCTGTGGCTGCTTCGATGTTCAGCGTATAACAAGACATCTCTGTCTTTGTTTGTAGTGGAAAACAGAACCAAGAATTGTAATGCTATTAACTAAGGAGAGGAAACCCCAGTGCGATACAATACATTTATTGCGTTTTCCAATGATATGAACAAAATGTCAATGATGTGTTTAGTCTGGCAACAAACAACATAACATCTTATTCTTATACCTTAACAAGATTCATAATTGTATTATCTAAATTTTTTCAAATCAAAATCAAATCAAATCCATTTTTATTGGTCACATACACATATTTAGCAGATGTTATTGCGGGTGTAGCGAAATGCTTGTGTTCCTAGCTCCAACAGTGCAGTAGTATCTAACAAGTCACAACAATACACACAAATCTAAAAGTAAAAGAATGGAATTAAGAAATATATAAATATTAGATCGAGCAATGCCGGAGTGGCATTGACTGAAATACAGTAGAATAGAATACAGTATGTACATATGAGATGAGTAAAGCAGCATGTAAACATTATTCAAGTGACTAGTGTTCTATTATTAAAGTGGCCAGTGATTCCAAGTCTATGTATATAGGGCAGCAGCCTCTACGGTGCAGGGTTGCGTAACCGTGTGGAAGCCGGCTAGTGATGGCTATTTAACAGTCTTATTATTCAGTAGAACAATATTAAACTGTTTGTTTACACCTTCAGGTTTTATCTTTATTTGCTATGCTTGTTCTGTTGAAGTGTTTATGTACTATTCCTTCTGAAAAACAACAGAAGCTATATAAAACGTTTAAATTGCATGCATTTGAAAATGTCTACGTTGGTCAGTCCAAAATTGCTTTTTAATTCTGTTATGGAAATAATTGTATTTCCTATTATCAAGTCATTTATGGTCTCTATGCCTTTAGTTTTCAATGTGGCCAATTTATCTGTGAATTCTGAAAAGCTATCCAAGGATTGTTCCAAAGGGGTGTGTTTTTAGGGAGTGATACAGGTTCGTGTAGAATCTGTTTCATTTTCTTCCATATTTTTATGGTGTTTTTACTATGGAGTTGTAAATGTTCTTAGCGCCATCCTTTGAAAACAGACACGTGAAAAGATTCTGGGGATGAGCATGCACATCTTCAATATGTACCCATTGTTCCTCTTTAGTGCATTTAACTATATATTGCAAGTAAAAGCCTTGGGTAGCGAGTTGATACAATTCCAAGACTTGAAGGTGAAAACCATCCTCAGTTTTAGGGACATGTAAAACGTAATTCATTCGAAGAGTTTTATTTCCCCATATAAAGTCTGCTATGGCCGAGTATACTTTTTTAAAGAATGTCTTTTATATCACAAAATGTCGAACTGAAATCTTTTGCACATCAGAGCAATGTTGAGGGAATTCTATTTGAGTCAGAAAAGGATATGATATGATTGGTAAGATACACTAAAACTTGCAGACAGCCTATCCAACTGAAATCTCTAAATAAACTATTGGAACCAAGACTTAAAAATAACTGATATCGGCATAAGATGGAGTGAGTGTTGGAACATAACTAACGAAATTACAGTTAATGAAAATATGCACTTAACCCAGTATAAACTAATGTACAGAATTTATTATACAAGAGACAAAATTCACAAATTCTACAGCAGAACGGCAGAGTCATGTCTTAAGTGTAAAACTAACAGTGACTCAATGATTCATGCCTTCTGGGAGTGCTATGAAATCCAAAAGTTATGGGCGGAGTTAGAAAGTTGGCTGTCAGAAGTTTTACAATATACATTTACTTTTAATCCATCTATCTGCATATTTCAAGACATGGCATATGAGGGTGTGGTGAGATATATTTTGATATCAAAAAATGGAAATCAAATTATCCTCCATTGTGAAGACAGTGGATGAATCAAATGTATTATTATCTAAATATTGAACAACAAAAAAAAGTGAGCTACAGAGAGAAACAAAATAGTACAATTTGAAGCCATATAGCATAAAGTATTACAAGCACTGGAGATATCCAAAGGATGAGGAATGAGAGAAAATGTTATTGTGAGATGGGCAGGAAGGGTGTGGATACGGTGGGAACATGTGGGTCTAAGCAAGTGTGATGTCATGAATGTTGGTTGAAATGTAAATATGTAAATTTTAAGTTGTCTATTGTTTTAGGCTATATATGTTTTTATATTGCCCCCCCATCCCAAAAAATAAATATAATTGAGCAATTTTCACACTGCTGCAAATGTTAGCCTGGCCCATTGACTGTACACAACTGAAGCCACCATATAGCCACCTGAGAGCTGTCATAGCTCGAGGGAACACCAGGAGGCACTGTCTCTTTCAATCACAGCCTGACACTGGATTTAATCATCCCTCCCTGATACTGTCACCTCTCTCTCCTCTCTAGTCTCCTCGCCTCTAATCTGAGCTGGGAGCAGGTCACTGTGCCTATCTCTCACTGCCTCCAGTCAGCCAATCAATAGAGCTCGTAGACTCCTAACTGACTACTGAATTATATAATGGGTGGTTAAGGAGTATCTCTCAGCTTTACGTCATAGGATGACAGGGCTATTATGATTATGAAATAATACCATTCTAAGCACTCGCTTTCAGGAAAATAGTTTAATGTCAAATGAGGTGACAAGCAAAGATTTGGTTTGAATTTGTTTACTTCCCTTTTGTACTTATTCTACATTGAATATCTGAATGCTTTTTCTGCTGCAGCATTAACACATCCTTTTCAAAAGTGATCCGGTTAACAGCTCATGTTAGAGTTTGAGCCTTCTCTTTCCCAGGAGATGATTAAAAGTCGAGAGGTGAGCTTTTCTAAACCTCACCGTTCACTTTCTACTGGCCTGAGGCGAACAATGCTTAACCTTCCGTCATGCCTGTGAGAGCTTCCAGTCCAGTCCATCTCCTCTCTAATACAGACAACTTCACCTGCCTTAACCCTGACTACTTCCTTTGTTAACACTTTACATTTTAGTCATTTAGCAGACGCTCTTATCCAGCGCGACTTACAGGAGCAATTAGGGTTAAGTGCCTTGCTCAAGGGCACATCGACATATTTTTCACCTAGTCGGCTCGGGGATTAGAACCAGCGACCTTTCGGTTACTGGCACAATGCTCTTAACCACTAAGCTACCTGCCGCCACTTCTCTCCCCACTGGGCCTCACGACTCCAGGAATCAATAACACTCCTTCAGCTGTCGTGGCAACCTGTAACCCATCATATAGGTATCCCTGCTATTTAACTCTCCTCACACCACACTGACTCAAAGACTGTCTGTCTGGCTGAGTGAAAGAGCGAGCCCCAGGTCTTCATTGATTGACTGTGCCAGTCATTGTGATAGCTGCTGCTTTCTACAACTCAGGACCAATGACCTGAATAACATTGTTCCACAGCTATACCAGGACAGAGAAGAATGGCTGAACTTCAGGTAGCTGTCATGTCAAGGAAAGAGCTTTTGTTAGGTTAACACAGTGAGATGAAACCATTAAAAAAAAAGAGTATTAATATAATTGGAGCCGATTCGCAGCAAAAAAGAATTCTGTCACATTTACTTTTATCATTCATCTGTACTGTACTGCACATAATGTAGGTCTGCTTGTATAACTTTACACTGTAATGCAGTACTTCATAATACACCCCACTTGATCTACTGACCTGACTTTTTTGATACAACCTCTCTTCCACAACACAACCTCTCTTCCACGATACAACCTCTCTTCTAAAATACAACCTCTCTTCACGATACAACCTCTCTTCCACGACACAACCTCTCTTCCACGACACAACCTCTCTTCCACAACACAACCTCTCTTCCACGATACAACCTCTCTTTTAAAATAGAACCTCTCTTACACGATACAACCTCTCTTTTAAAATACAACCTCTCTTCACGATACAACCTCTCTTCCACGGCACAACCTCTCTTCCATGACACAACCTCTCTTCCACGATACAACCTCTCTTTTAAAATAGAACCTCTCTTCACGATACAACCTCTCTTCCACAACACAACCTCTCTTCCACGATACAACCTCTCTTCTAAAATAGAACCTCTCTTCCACGATACAACCTCTCTTCTAAAATAGAACCTCTCTTCACGATACAACCTCTCTTCCACGACACAACCTCTCTTACACGACCCAACCTCTCTTCCACGACACAACCTCTCTTCCACCACACAATCTCTCTTCCAAAATACAATCTTCTTCCGCAATAGTGCCTCTCTCCATGGTCTCTACCAGGTCAACAACATACAGCAGCGGGAGGAATTGGAATATGTGAACAGCTGAACTTTAGGTTGACTTTGCCTTTAAGTGGTATGACGTGATGAGAGGGAACTGAGAGATCTGACTGATCTGACAAGGTGGGGCTCTTCAATCACACAGTGAGATGGCCTATAGAGAGCGCCTTTCCATCATCTCCCTCTATCACCCCCCATCACTCTCTATCTCCCTCTATCACCCTCTATCTCCCTCTATCTCCCTCTATATCCCCTATCACCCTCAATCTCCCTCTATCACCCTCTATCACCCTCCATCTCCCTCTGTCTCACTCTATCTAACTCTATCACCCTCTATCACCCTCCATCTCCCTCTATCACCCTCTTTCTTCCTCTATCACCATCTATCTCCCTCTATCACCCTCTATATCTCTCTATCCCACTCTATCCCCCTCTATCACCCTCTATCTCTCTCTATCTCCCTCTAACTCCTTCTATCACCCTCTATCATCCTCTTTCACCCTCCATCACCCTCTATCTCTCTCTATCACCGTCTAGCACCCTCTATCTCCCTCTATCACCCTCTATATCTCTCTATCCCACTCTATCCCCCTCTATCACCCTCCATCACCCTCTATCTCTCTCTATCACCCTCTACCACCCTCCATCTCTCTCTATCACCCTCTATCACCCTCCATCTCCCTCCATCACCCTTTATCACCCTCTATCTCTCTCTATCTCCCTCTATCACCTTCTATCTCCCTCGATCACCCTCTATCACACTCCACCTCCCTCCATCACCCTCTATCTCCCTCCATATCCCTCTATCACACTCTATCACCCTCCAGCTCCCTCCATCTCCCTCTATCACCCTCTATCACCCTCCATGTCCCTCTATCACCCTATTTCTCCCTCTATCACCCTCCATCTCCCTCTATCACCCTCTATCTCTCTCTCTCCCTCTATCCCCCTCTATAACCCTCTATCTCTCTCTATCTCCCCCTATCACCCTCTTTCACCCTCCATCCCCCTCCATCACCCTGTATCTCCCTCCATCACCCTCTATCTCCCTCTATCACCCTCTATCTCCCTCTATCACCCTCTATCTCCCTCTATCACACTCTATCACCCTCTATCTCCCTCTATCACCCTCTATCTCCCTCTATCACACTCCATACCCTCTATCTCCCTCTATCACCCACCATCTCCCTCTTTCACTCTCTATCACCCTCTTTCACCCTGTATCTCCCTCCATCACCCTCTATCTCCCTCTATCACACTATATCACCCTCCAGCTCCCTCCATCTCCCTCTATCACCCTCTATCACCTCTATCACTCTCTATAACCATCTATCACCCCCCCGCTCCCCCATCCCTTATCCCACCCCTTTTCCCCCCTCCCGTCCCTCCATCTCTCTCTATCAACTCTTCACCCTCCCATTCCCCCCCCTATCCCAAAAACCCACCCCCTTTTTTCTCTTATCACCCCCAATCATAAACACCCCCTTTTCCCCCCTTCCTCTTCCCTCTAAACAAACCCCCTATCAACCCCCCCATCTCCTCATCAAACCCCATCACTCTCTTTCCCCCCCTTTTCCCTTTCCCTCAACTCTAACTTCTCTAACAAACCCCCATCTCCCCCTTCACATTGCCTCCTTCTATCTCCCTCTATCCCCTCTATCACCCCCATTTTCCTTTCCCCCAACCCCTTTTCAAACCCCCTACTCCTCTATTCCCTCCCCCTTTTACCTTCTATCTCCCCCCTAACACCCTCCATTTGGGCCTTTTATCTCCCTTATCACCCCCATCACCCTCCACTCCCTCCAAACTCCCTCTACAACCCCTTTTCAACCCCCTATCTCCCCGTATACCCGGATCACCAAAATTTAAAACTCTCTCTAAACCCCCCTAGATCGCTTATATCTCCCCTATCACCCTTTGATCACCATTAAACAACCCCCTTTAACCCTTTTTCACCCCCAAACCCTCATCACCCTCATCAAAAACTTTTAAACTCTCCTTTTCTCCCCTCTATAACCCCTATCCCCAATATAAACCCCCTATATCCCCCACACCCTTCCAAACCCCCCTATATAAAAACCCACCCCCCTCTTTTCCACCCCCCCTCGCCCCTTTTGCCTCTTATCACCCTTAAACCACTCATCCCCCCCCAGTCCCTCCATTTCCCCCTATAACCCCTTTTTCCCCCCTTTTAAATTTGTGTACACCCTGGGGTCAACCCCCAATCTCCCTCTATCACCCTTATCTTCTCTATCACCCTCTTTTCTCCCTATCAACCCCCCCCTTTCACCCTTTTTAACCCCCCATTCCCTCCCTTCCCCCCCTATTTTTTCCATCAACCCCCTATAACCCTCTATTTTTTCTCCCCCTATAACACCCCTTTTTCACCCTATCCTCTCCTTTTCTCCCCCTATACCTTCCATCTCCCTCCCCCCTCCCTCTATAAACCCTTTTATCTTTTTCCCCTTCCCCCCAACCCCCTTTTTTTTTAACATTCATCCTCTCTTTCCCCCTATAACCCCCCCTTTTCCCCCCCCCATCCCCCTCCACACCCTGTAATCTCCCCCCTCACCCTCTTCTCCCCCATCACCCCCTATTTTCCCCCCTTTTCACCCCTATCTCCCCTTCACACTCTATTTACCCCCTACTCCCTCTTTTCCAACCCTTTTTAAACCCCCTTTTTCCGTTAAACACCCGGGGTCCCCTCAATCTCCCCTATCACCCTCTATTCTTCCCATTCCCCGATTCCCCATCACCCCCTACCCCCCTCTTTAACCCCCCTTTTCCCCCATCACCCTCTATCCTTTCCCATCACCCTCATCACCCCTATCTCCCCTATCTCCCCTTCACCCATTTATAAACCCCCCCGATTTTTATCTCCCTCTACACCTTCCCTCCCCCCCATCTCCCCTATACCCTCTATCCCCTCCTCTCTCCCTCTATCCCCCTTTTAAAACCCCCTATCTTTTATTCCCCCCCCTACCCCCTTTTAAACCCTCCCCCCCTCCCACCCCCCCTTATCCTTCCCCCCCATCAACCCCCTATCTCCCCCTACACCCCCCATTCCCCCCTATCACCCTTATCTCCCCCAAAACACACTCTATTTCCCCCCTCATCTCCCTCTATACCCTATTTCCCCCATCCCCCCCCCCATCTCCCCTTTTACTCTCTTTACCCTTTTCACCCCGTTTTCTCTCCCTCCATACCCTCTTACTCCCCTATAACAATTTTTCACCCCCCCCGCTCCCCCCCCCTTTCCCCCTTTTCACCCCTATCCCCCCCTCTTCACTCTCTATAAACCCATCACCCCCCACTCCCCCACTCCCCTATCCCCCTCTATTTACCCCCCAGCTCCCCCATCTCCTCATAAACCCCTATTCACCCCCTACCCCCCCTTTAAAACCCCTATCCCCCCCCATTTTCTCTCTCACACCCTCCATCACCCTCTATCACCCCAAAAATCCCTCCATCCCCTTTTATACCCTCTATCCCCTCCATCTCCCCCTAAACACCCTCATCACTCTCTTTAACCCTCCTTCTCCCCAAACACACTCTATCTCTCTCTATTTCCCCTCTATCCCCAATCACTATCTGCCCCCTCTATCTCCCCCTTCCCCCTCTATCACCCCCCTCTCCCCCAAACCCTTTTTTTCCCCCCTAGCTCTCTTTTACTCCCCTATCACCTTTTCCCCCTTTTCCCCCCCCATCTGCCCTTTTTCCCTCTAAACACCCTCTATCAACCCCCCAGCTCCCTCCCTCTCCCTTTATCCCCTTACAACCCTTTTATTTTCCCCCTTTTCCCCCCTGGATACCCTCTCTCTCTCTATCTTCCCCCCCATCGCTTATATCTCCCTCTATCACCCCCGACCCCATCTTTTCACCCCCCTATCACCCTTTTTTATCACCCTCCAAACCCCTCTCTATCAAGGGTAACAACCCCAATTCCCCTAAACCCCCTAAACACCCTCTATTACCCAAAAAAACCCTCTATTTTTCCCCTTTTCACCCTCCAAACTCCCTATATCACCCTCTATCACCCCTAAATCCCCCCCTCCATCTTTCCTCTATTGCCTCATCCCCCCTACACCCCTCTATCACCCCCAGTCCCTAAAATTTCCCCCTATCACCCTTTTCACCCCTATCTCCTTTTAACAAACCCCGGAAACACCTTCAATTCCCTCTATCACCCTCCCATCTCTCTCTAAACCAAACCCCCTTTTCACCCCCTTAAACGCCCCTATTTCCCCCCTGGATACCCTTTTTCACCCTCTAGCTCTCTCTATTCCTTATCAAATTCCTCTCCTCTATCACACTCTATCACCCTCCAGCCTCCTCCATCGCCTATAATCACTTATCAACCTCTATCTCAGGTATTCACCTGGATCACCCTCCAAATCTACATCATCACCCTCGATCTATCTCTATCACCATCTAATCACATCTATCTCCCTCTATCTCCCTGTATCACCCTTTATCACCCTCTAGATCTCTCTATCTCCCTCTATCACCTTCCATCTCCCTCTATCACCCTCTATCACCCTCCATCTCCCTCCATCTCCCTCTATCACCCTCTATCACACTCTATCACCCTCCAGCTCCCTCCATCTCCCTCTATCACCCTCTATTTATTTATTTTGATTTCACCTTCATTTAACCAGGTAAGCCAGTTGAAAACAAGTTCTCATTTACAACTGTGACCTGGCCAAGATAAAGCAAAGCAGTGCGATAAAAACTACAACACAGAGTTACATATGCGGTAAAACAAAACATAAAGTCAAAAATACAACAGAAAATATATATACAGTGTGTGCAAATGTAGTTATGGAGGAAGGCAATAAATAGGCTATAGTGCAAAATAATTACAACTAGTATTAACACTGGAATGATAGATGTGCAAGAGATGATGTGCAAATAGAGATACTGGGGTGCAAATGAGCAAAATAAATAACAATATGGGGATGAGGTAGTTGGGTGGGCTAATTTCAGATGGGCTGTGTACAGGTGCAGTGATCGGTAAGGTGCTCTGACAACTGATGCTTAAAGTTAGTGAGGGAGATAAGAGTCTCCAGCTTCAGAGATTTTTCAAATTCGTTCCAGTCATTGGCAGCAGAGAACTGGAAGGAATGGCGGCCAAAGGAGGTGTTGGCTTTGGGGATGACCAGTGAGATATACCTGCTGGAGCGCATACTATGGGTGGGTGTTGCTATGGTGACCAATGAGCTAATCACCCTCCATCTCCCTCTATCACCCTCTATCTCTCTCTATCCCCCTCTATCACCCTCTATCTCCCTGTATCACCCTGGATCACCCTCAATCTCCATCTATCACCCTCTATCTCCCTCTATCACCATCTATCACCCTCTATCTCCCTCTATCTCCCTCTATCACCATCTATCACCCTCTATCTCCCTCTATCACCCTCTATCTCCCTCTATCTCCCTCTATCACCATCTATCACCCTCTATCTCCCTCTATAACCCTCTATCCCCCTCTATCTCTCTCTATCTCCCTCTATAACCCTCTATCACTCTCTATCTCCCTCTATCACCCTCTCTCTTTTACTCTCTACCTTCCTCTCAGTCCTGGTGAGGTGATCTTGGTGTTTTATACTATAATTTTACATATTCCACTGACTTTCATACTATTGTATTGAAGGTGATTAGAAAGAAGTCGTTTCTCATTCAGTCTTGCAAATCTTTATATTATGGACCTTTCCACAGACAAGACTAACCAACTTACCCCTGCAGAGCTTTCTCCCCAAACCAGTCTCCTTTGCCCAGGCCTCGCAGGTACACAGGCATATCATTGGAAGAATCCTCCCTGGTGACGTTCACCTGTAAGGAAAGGGATCAGCAGTCATTAATTGCTCTAATATTGGAGTCTCCTTCCAAAAAAAAACCTGTGGCAGAGGAAAGGCCGCTAGACCAGTAAGCCTATGTTTTAAAATTACGATTTAACAGCAGGGAGTTCCATCACAAATAGAGTATATACTCTCATGAAGATGAGATCACCTCTTTCTGACATTGAACTAACCTCTACCGTAATCACCATAGTAGACAAGCCTTGGCTAGCCCCACAGACGCCTTGCACCTCTACCATTAATACACGCGCCTCTATTATAAAAAGGTTGGTCACCTTCCCCTTGCTGATGATGAAGAAGGTGTCCCCTCTGGCTCCCTGTCTGATGATGTACTCCCCGTCCCCGTAGTGCGTCTGTAGGGAGAGGAAGAGCAGTGTCACTCAACGATGTCATGAACTGTCCGAAGAGACCTGACAGAGTCCTCAGCGTCAGGCACTCAAACACCATGTTGAATCATCACCAGTCCCCCAATGTAGAATGGCCTTTAGGAAAATAGGATCACTGTGTACACAGACCATGTACTGACAGATATCAGTTGCGATGTTAAAAATAATACATTATCTTTTTCTGAATGAAACATCCTGCATTTGTCAGATTGTGACCATCACTCAGTGGGGGAAGAGAGTGAGAAAGCAGGAATCAATATGTGAAGTGTTTCCAATAATTACCCCAATAATGATCCCATTTTTACTAATACTGTTGAACTTTGTTCTAGTCCCGTGTAGCTCAGTTGGTAGAGCATGGCGTTTGCAACGCCAGGGTTGTGGGTTCGATTCCCATGGGGGGCCAGTATGAAAATGTATGCACTCACTAACTGTAAGTCGCTCTGGATAAGAGTGTCTGTTAAATGTTAAAGCTGTATTCGTACCCATTGGATGCAGTGAGCACAATATAGTGGGTATATCCAGGAAAGCCAAAGTTCCAAAAGCTGGGCCTAAAATAATGTATAAGAGATCATACAAAAGATTTAGCTGTGGATGATGTTAAAAATATGTGTTGGTCTGATATGATTAATAAGTAGCATCCAGACACTGCATTTGATACATTTATGAAATTGCTTCTTCCAATTATTGATGAACATGCACCTGTTAAAAAACTGACTGTTAGAACTGTTAAGGCTTCATGGATTGATGAGGAATTGAAAAACTGTATGGTTGAAAGAGATGGGGCAAAAGGACTGGCTAATAAGACTGGCTGCACATCTGACTGGCTGACTTACTGCAAATTGAGAAATTATGTGACTAAACTCAACAAAAATAATAAGAGACTGTATTATGAAGCCAAGATCAATAATTAACAAGGCACACCTGTTAATTGAAATGCATTCCAGGTGACTACCTCATGAAGCTGGTTGAGAGAATGACAAGAGTGTGCAAAGATGTCATCAAGGCAAAGGGTGGCTACTTTGAAGAATCTCAAATGTAAAATATGTTTTGATTTGTTTAACACGTTTTTGGTTACTATATGATTCCATATGTGTTATTTCATAGTTTTGATGTATTCACTATTATTCTACAATGTTGAAAATAGTAAAGATAAATATAAATCAGTAGGTGTGTCCAAACCTTTGACTGGTACTGTATAAGATGGAAGGGCGTTCCATGCACTCATGGCTCTGTATAATACTGTATGTTTCCTTGAATTTGTTCTGGACCTGGGGACAGTGAAAAGACCCCTGGTGGCATGTCTGGTGGGGGATGTGTGTGTGTAAGTTGACTATGCAAACAATTTGGAATTTCCAAAACTTCATGTTTCTTATAAAACAAGAAGTGATGCAGTCAGTCTTTCCTCAACTCTTAGCCAAGAGAGACTGGCATGCATAGTATTAATATTAGCCCTCTGATTACAATGAAGAGCAAGACGTGCTGGGCCAGCTGCAGCTTAACTAGGTCTTTCTTTGCAGTTCTTGACCATATGACTGGACAATAATCAAGATAAGATCAAACTAGAGCCTGCTGGACTTGCTTTGTGGAGTGTGGTGCCAAAAAAGCAGAGCATCTCTTTAATACGGACAGACCTCTCCCCATCTTTATAACCATTGAATCTATATGTTTTGACCATGACAGTTTACAATCTAAGGTAACACCAAGTAATTTAGTCTCCTCAACTTGTTCAACAGCCACACCATTCATTACCAGATTCAGCTGAGGTCTAGAACTTAGGGAATGATTTGTACCAAATACAATGCTCTTAGTTTTAGAGATGTTCAGGACCAGTTTATTACTGGCCACCCATTCCAAAACAGACTGCAACTCATTGTTAAGGGTTTCATTAGCTGTGGTTGCTGATGCATATATGGTTGAAACATCAGTATACATGGACACTCATGCTTTGTTGAATGCCAGTGGCAGGTCATTGGTAAAAATAGAAAAGAGGAGGGCCTAGAGAGCTGCCCTGTGGTACACCACACTTGACATGTTTGACATTACAGAAGTTTCCATTTAAGAAAACCCTCTGAGTTCTATTAGACAGATAGCTCTGAATCCATGATATGGCAGAGGTTGAAAAGCCATAAGACATAACAACAGGTTATGGTCAATAATATCAAAGACTGCACTAAAATCTAACAGTACAGCTTCCACAATCGTCTTATTATCAATTTATTTCAACCAATTATCAGCCATTTGTGTCAGTGCAGTACATGTTAAGCATGCTGAAAGTCTTGTTAATTTGTTTACAGAGAAATAGCATTGTATTTTTCCAACACTTTGCTAAGAGTTGGCAACAAGCTGATAGGTCTGCTGTTAGAACCAGTAAAGACCACGTTACCACTCTTGGGTAGCGGGATGACTTTGGCTTCACACCAGGACTGAGGACAAATACTTTCTTCTAGGCCCAGATTAAAGATATGACAGATAGGAGTGGCAATAGAGTCAGGTGGGGCTGTGGCGGTAATTACATTTTGTCAGCCGGTTAATGTCATGCAAAAGAGTGCCGGTCTCTTGGTAATTGACCTTTAATTAACATAAACAGGTTTAGCATCTCCAGGCCTCCACGGATACATCTACATTTTAAAAAGTATAATAAATCTATTTAATATACACCATCACAATAAATCCATTATTTATTTTAGTTAGGTCTAAAGAAACATGATGATATAAAGAAAATGTATTTCAGAAGTGCTCAGCGTATGTGGGAACTCCTTCAAGACTGTTGGAAAATCATTCCTCATGAAGCTGGTTGAGAGAATGCCAATAGTGTGAAAAGCTGTCATCAAGGCAAAGGGTGGCTACTTTGAAGAACCTAAAATATATTTTGATTCGTTTAACACGTTTTTGGTTACTACATGATTCCATATGTGTTATTTCATAGTTTTGATATCTTCACTACATTTACATCATTTAGCAGACGCTCTTATCCAGAGCGACTTACAGTTAGTGAATAAACTTTTTTTTTATATACTGGCCCCCCATGGGAATTGAACCCACAACCCTGGCGTTGCAAACGCCATGCTCTATCAACTGAGCTACATCCCTGCCGGCCATTCCCTCCCCTACCCTGGACCAATTGTGCGCCGCCCATGAGTCTCCCGGTCGTGGCCGGCTGCGACAGAGCCTGGATTCGAACCAGGATCTCTAGTGGCACAGATTAGTACTGCGATGCAGTGCCTTAGACCACTGCGCCACTCAGGAGACATTAGGAGACACTATTATTCTACAATGTAGAAAATAGTAGAAATAAAGAAAAATGAGTAGGTGTATCCAAACTTTTGAGTGGTACTGTATACCGCAAGTGAACAGCAAACCTGGATTCAAAAAACAAATAAAGCAACACCTCACGGCACAACGCCTCTCCCCCATGTGACCTACTAGTTGTGTGTATATACTGACATGTATGTGTAACTGATAGATGCACACACACACACTACATGTTAATGTTTTTAAATGTATGTAAATTGTAAAGTATTTTGTCTGTAATGTCTTTTTCGTTTTGTGTCGGACCCCAGTAAGACTAGCTGTCGCCATTGCCGTTGGCTAATGGCGATCCTAATTAGTCAAATCAAATCCCTCCCTCCAACTGCTCAGATGTGGTCTGAGAGAAAGAGGGAGAGCAATTTTGATGCTGGGGAAGTGGTAGATAAAGTAGAAGCCTTTTAATTTCATGTTGTGCTAATTTAATAATAATATAATATTATTATATTCTATATGATATACTCTACATGTCATTTCTGTTGTCATTCATTCTCGCTCTGACTGCTACCCCCTGTTGTGTAGCAGTGAGCCGTTCTAAAGTACCAATCAGAGACGACCCTCAGAGTATTCCTTCCTGCCACTTCACTGAGCTGGTTTACTCTTGCATTCTGGGAGGCCACAAAGCAGCAGCAGCCCAGGTTTCAGGGTCACAACGCATCAAATTACCTGCTTTTATTTCCCACTGTTTGGTTTTCAGAGAGGCAGGAAGTCAACTGAGCTTTTGTGCAGGCGGCACTAATTTAACTTGGACTTTGGTGGAGGGACTAATGAAACACAGTAGGGATGATATTTTTATTAAAAAGTACATTAACAATGATAAATAAATAGGTCTGAGGTAAAAGTAGATTTAAATAATACATCACAGACCAATAGTACCAGGTTTTTATGGATTGATGGCAGCTGACAGCTTTGACTTTCACGTCAAAGTTGGGTACATCAAGAAGACAGAGATTAACAGGTGCTGGAAGCCTGGCCCCCAGATTCATTTAAAATAGACAGCAGAACCATTTAAATTAAGATGGAGTGAAGCGGAGAGTCATGAATCGTAAATGAGATTCCGTGGTATATTGGGCAGGCTTATCAAGGGGAAATGATGGCCTGTACTGTATTGTATGTAGCATCGCTATGCATCAAATAATAAATAAATAAATGGTATTCAAAGAGGAAATCCTATTTCTTATCATCTATATTCAATGATAAAATTCATTTTTACATTCCTCTCACTCTCTCAGCCTGAGACTATCGATTGATAATAGCTGCTTAATTATCCTCCTTCTTCTTCCATATTTGAGGTCACAGCTGTTTGGGAGGATGGCAGATAATGACGGGAGTCGAGACGAGTCGTCACACACATTAAGGCAACCCTCACACATCAGCTGGAAAACAGTGAACTCTTGACATGCTCTGCTCTGCTCCGTATGGGCCAGAACAGAACAGTATTAGAACGGGGAACGTCTGGAATTAAAAATAAACCTCTACTCCCAACCCAACCACTGCCTGACTAGTCACACATCAATAGTAGGATCCTGGGGGTTTGATACCACTATGATTAATACCTGCAATGTTTACATTCTTTATCCGTTGATACTGTCCAGTTTCTTTATACCAGGCATCATGGTATGTTCCTCCCGCTCTTGAATGACTGTATAGTAAGTGACTTTAAACAAACACAGCTTACTGATTTACTTTTAGAGAGTAAAGAGTGTTTATGCGAGTCAGTATTCATTTACCAGACAGGCTGGGTAGGGAGGAACAGTCATCATCAGTAACTAAGGTGAACTGTCTTTCAACAGCTCTTTCTAGTTTCTTCCTGTGCTTTAGTATATTTTTAGGCCTGGGAGAAAATGTCACCAGTATTCATTGTAGCTGCAAAGAGAAAAATCCATTAAGATGGAGAAGAAAGAAATCAATGGCTAATTTAAGGGAACATGACATTTTGGGCTGACCCAGACTTTGTTTTTCTTTCTCCCAAATTGAAATATACCACCTGTGTCATGAGAGGTTTCTGCCAAGGAATGGGCATTCCAACGAGTAGAAGACAGATATGTGTCCCTATAAAGTAGCAAAACTATACAGCATGAATAGTGCATTTAACCGCATATAACATCATAACACCTTTTTCATCTCACTTTAAAGATGAATTGAGCGGTGATTAAAGTTATAACTTACCAGAATAATCTTATTTTCATTATGAATGGTGGCTAAACATCAAACAGTAGTCTTGGAGGTGTAATGGGTATTTCTCATTATGTATATATCAGTAAAGAGAGGAAAGGCTGAACTGTGATGATGAAAAGGGGCCCTCGCAGATGCAGAAAATTCTGCTCCACAACACTAAATTACTTCTTTACTTCTTATCTTTACTTATCTACCACTTTATTTTACACAAATCAGTTACTTTCTTACTTGGGTACCCCTAACTCCTTTGGTTTCTGTGTGGCAAGAGAACCGAAGACCTACACTTCTGTTTTGCTATACAGAGACTGTTAGCTGATGTGGGTGGTTACATGATGAGTTTGTTACTCTGCTCAGCAGTGCTTGACTTGGGAAGGAGCTCACCGGAGTAGAGTACCAGCACCTCAAATGTTCTACTGCTACTCCTGGACAGTGCATTCGGAAAGTATTCAGACCCCTTGACCTTTTCCACATTTTGTTACGTTACAGCCGTATTCTAAAATTGATTTTTCTTAAATTAATCTCATCAATCTACACACAATACCCCATAATGACAAAGCAAAAACTGGTTTTTAGAAATGTTTGCAAATGTATCAAAAATAAAAAACAGAAATATAACATTTACATAAGTATTCAGACCCTTTACTCAGTACTTTGTTGAAGCACCTTTGGCAGCGATTACAGCCTTGCGTCGTCTTGGGTATGACGCTACAAGCTTTTCACACCTGTATTTGGGGAGTTTCTCCCATTCTTCTCTGCAGATCCTCTCAAGCTCTCTCAGGTTGGATGGGGGGCGTCGCTGCGCAGCTATTTTCACGTCTCTCCAGAGATGTCCGATCGGGATCAAGTCTGGGCTCTGGCTGGTTTGTCATTATGGGGTATTGTGTGTAGATTGATGAGGAAATGTTTTTACTTAACCCATTTTAGAATAAGGCTGTAACGTAACTAAATGTGGAAAAATTCAAGGGGTCTGAATAAATTATTGTGGAGTTCCTGCATCTAAAAATAAACAGTACCTATTTCAGTCCAAGTCAAACACTGCTGCCCAGTCATCCGTTTCCATAGAAAACCGCGCCGCAAGGTTCTGTCAAAGATTTTTATTGTGTCTGTCACAATAAAAATAGGGATAGGCCATAGTGAAGAGGTGGGGCTTTAGGATGGACTGAAGGATGGCTGGAAGGAGGGTGTTCGAGAGCCTTGGAGGAATACCATGGGATTCCTATGTGTTTTAAAGTAGATTCTCCTGTTATCATGGAGGATAGCCTGGGGGTTCTCCCTATAGATATCCCACAGGAGTCTTATCCTTATCCCACACTGCAAGGCTCTAGGAGATTGTTCCATAATCCAGCCACTTGAGAAGCCTCCATAGCACGTCTTTTGAGGAAAACATTACTACTTGAATGCATAAGTATTAGTCGCATGCACGGACACGCACACACGCACACACGCACACACACACACACACACACACACACACACACACACACACACACACACACACACACACACACACACACACACACACACACACACACACACACACACACACACACACACACACACACAACACACACACACACACACACACACACACACACACGCACACACACACACCACACACACACACACACACACACACACACACACACACACACACACACACACACACACACACACACACTCCTCTGTATGCACATACATCTTCACTGCTTTTCACCTGAAATGATGACTGACAGTAAGTAATGAGAGAAATCTTTCTGAGGCTTAAACAAAATGCCATGCATCACAGATGTTGTTGGAGAGTTGGGTTTTCCTGAGGTTCCTAACGTTCTCATCCGTAACCTGTACCACTGGGTGTCCTCATTTAAATCATGTTAGTGCAGTGATTGTCTATTATTTTAGGATACACTGAAGCTAAACACTACTGTGGCTAGTCAGAGGTAGAAAACACAGCACATATTGTATCCAGAGAGGATTGTGTTCACACAGAGGTGCAACACCTCAGTGTTAACGTTGATAACTTTGCTTTATGACTTTTTGTTAATCATCTAGGCAAATCCCCATGACAGCAAACTATTTGCAAGAAACCAATGTTTCTAATTCTGCTTGTCATTACCTTAACTGTATGTTTCACTGCTGCTCAAATTTGCTACGCAATTATCGACAGTAGATCTGTCTAATACATTTTCTCTATCATGAGAACAGCAACATGAAGCACAGACAGAAATTCACTGCACTGTTACAAATGGTAAGAAATGGACTAATGGCTATTTGTGACACAGGGGTGACATTTGGGTGAGGAGATTGTCCGTGTTGTTTCATTCCATGGTGAGGCTGCATATAGTCTGATCGATTCTACTGTCTTCTGGCGATGTATACAGGCAGGTACACACACAATCACACACACACGCACGAACGCATGCACACACAACACACGCGAACAACATGCAAACACACATCGCCGGTGATCTCACCTACACCACACTGAATGGCAGCACATTCATCATCAGCCCCCTTTGGAGCACCCCTCAACTGTTTGAACATTCTGGGTTTTCCTCATGTTTTATTTCAGTCAGTCAGTGAACAGAGTCAGAGGGATATTGTCTTGGTAGTCAGTGGGGCATTCTGGGTCTGAACATAGAAATAAAATATGAATTCAAGTTTTATTCGTCTGAAACTACACGGCACTATGGGTTGAATTTGGTGTAATGTGACTGTTCATCAAATACTGTTTTATCATATGAACCATAACTCAGACGTATGTTTTCCCTTTGCATGTCATTATATTGTTGTTCTGTAAGGGGTTAGAGAAGTCAATTTGACTCAGAAGCAGCAGTTGGTGCCAATGAAAACTGAGGCCAACGCGTTAACAAACAAAACATGGTTAGATATATAGGTTGGTTTAGGAATAAGGATGTGTGTTCTTAATGGAGCTAATCCTCTATTGATCCAATAGATTAAAAGAACCATGAAATAATGTTTTTGATTCACTTGTGATTTTTGTGGTAATACTTAAGTTGACAATAATAGAGAAAGTCTGCCTGAATTTTATTTTTCTCGTTTTAATTGCCAAATGTTCTTTGGAAACCAGTTATACTGGAGGTCAAGTCATCCAATTAACTTGGAACAGCAGAGAGATTCTTGTTGGAAATTAACAAGCATAAAATATTGGAGGTGAAGGACTGTAGAGACTTAATGTAATATGTCTGTGTTTCTCAAGTGGTCCTAAGGACCCCCGTACCACCGTTTTGGGAAACATCTGCATGCCAATGAATAATAAAAAGATTAGCAATCTGCTCTGAAGTTGTGATTACAACTGTAATTGCTCCCTCTCACTCATAGACCAGAAAGTAGACACTGTTCATTGTAATAATCTGATCAGAGCCAGAATGGTTTTCCTGACCATGTGACCTGACTAGGAATACGCCTGGGCCCTAGTTATAGTCTAGTGTACAGTCGTGGTCAAAAGTTTTGAGAATTACACAAGTATTGGTCTTCACGAAGTTCGCTGCTTCAGTGTTATGAGATATTTTTGTCAG